TCGAAACTCAAAATGAGAATGGAGCCGAGGCATGGCCAGGCGGGGCTTTAGGGGTGGATCAGGTACTGCACTGCGCATACGTACAGTATTCTCATTTTGAGTTTCGAGTACCAAAAAAATGGGACTCGAAACTCATTATGAGTTTCGAACCCCCAAAAAAGGGACTCGAAACTCAAAATGAGAATGGCGTCGAGGCATGGCCAGGGCGGCGCTTCAGGGGTGGAGCAAGTACTGCACTGCGCATACGTACAGTAATCTCATTTTGAGTTTCGAGTACCAATTGCATCCGCTCATCCCGGCGCCTCGCTCTATGTCATACTTCGCCTGTGCCTGTGCCACCGACGGCGCCTAGCACGAGGTCTTCAGACAAAGCCTGCGAATCCCAGTTGCGCGTCAGAAAGGGGGTCCCGGATGATCGGTATTCCTCACGACACGCCGAGATAAGGTACGACTTCCCTTCAGATAGTATTCGTAGCTAGGGGCCTGGCTTTTTTACCCGATTTTACGGATTTTTACCACCTGGGATGGTGGTACTTTGCAGGCTTCGTCCCACTTTGAAAAGGTGTTCTGGCGAACAGTGGGGATTTGCTGGTCATTGTTCGCGAACCACGACCAGCAAATTATAAACGCCTATAATTTTAACAAAAAAGTAACAGTCCATATTTTGCTGGTCATGGTTCGCGAACCATGACCAGCTAAGTATAAACGTCTGTAATTTTAACAAAAAATAACAGTCCAGATTTGCTAGTCATGGTTCGCGAACCATGGCCAGCAAATCCCGACTGTTCGACCGAACACTTTTCCGAAGCATACCCTTTTCTTCACTACGCCGTCTCTAACAGCCCATCCAGTCCTTACTTTTCCAGACTTCACTTCGGAAAATAATCACCATTGAATTATGACTTCCGCTCCTGTCCGCTTCGCCCAGTTGTGTCTCACTCACTTGTCGCCTGTGGTGTATACTATCCTTTTCCAAATCACGACCCCACTCGCAGACTACATCTTGTCTGAAAAATATCCCGCATACCGTGATTACCAAAACCGTGGTTCGAGGCTCATCCCGTCTCCGTTCTCGCGACCAATATCGAAAGCCATTTCCTAAGGGAAAAAAGAGAAGTATTCTGCAGGGGTTTATTGGTTCGAAAGGCGCTCACAACACGTAGGCACGGCCCGTGCTGCCGGTCTGCCGAACCGCTGCAAAAGAAGGTGCGGGCTATCAGGCAGGCGCTCCCAAAGGATATCCGGCCGCGCCTCACGCATTAGCTCCGCTGCTTCATTTGCGATAATTGCGTCAGCTTCACCGCGAAGGTAAAAGGTGCTTTCTCTTGGCAGAAGGTCAGGGCAGCGGCATGTGGACCACGAGTCATGGGCCAGGCAGATGTCCAGACGCTGTATCATAACACGGGGCTCCACTTTGGCGCCAGCGGCTTGCACAATATGCATGCCTGAAACGTCAGCACCCAGAAACATTCGGCTGACCATCCACAGCGGGGGTTGCCGCTCGAGAAAGTTACGAGGCAGTTGCAGTCGCCCGTTTTGTATCCGGGATGGACCGGGTGACGACGCAAACGCGTTAACAAAGACCTGACCGATCATTTGGCCAGGGGCGTGATGATGCGCAAGATTCATGCCAAAGTGACCGGAGAAGCTTTGACTTACGACGACATACGCGTGAGTCATTCCTGAAAAGGGAAAGGTAATGCGTGGAGACGAAGTCGGCAAGCTCAGGTACAGATAATTCTTCGTCCTCTTGGTACTGGACCCTAATCACCCGTTTAAAGTCGTTGTCGCTGCAGATAGCATTTCGAAAGCTGTTTAACATCAACTCACTTTCATCCATGCCTTTTCGATATTAAAGGGTTGCCGTAGTTAGTTCACAAAGCATGCAGAATTGTATTCGCGTTGCATACAGATGAGGAGTTGAGATAGCAGTTGGCTACATACCTGGCAATACGACAACGCGAGGTTTGAGGAAGTATTGAGCAGGGCTGATTTTGTTCTGCATCGGCTTCTTTGTTGGGACACCTTTCGTCTAGTTCTTACAAGACTTAACGGCGGTACAAAATTAGTATAGGCGTTTGGTTGGGCGGCTGGGAAGCACAGGAAGTCGGTGGAAAGGGTGAAGTGGAGGGCGGCAAGGGCGATGCGGGCGAGGCAGAACAGGAGGGATGGGGGTACGGAGGGCGCGGGGGAGGAGAAAGGCAGCCGGAAGGGGGCTTGGAGGAGAGAGATGAGGACGACGTGCGAGGTGCGGACTTCGTGCGGGTGCGAATAGGTGAGGTGCTGGAAGGCGGTGGCGCCGGCAGACAGGGGGCCGTAGTAAACCTAATGCATGCTCATCGGAGGTACTGCAGAGGCCTAACGGACCACACTTATGCAGAACGGAGTGTCTCCGGATGGCCATTGGAGTCAGTTTGGCAAAGTTTTCAAAATCGTTACAATAAGCGTACAATATCTGGAGGGTTTCCGGAGGACATTTGATAGCAGTTCGCATTATGTTTAAGGAACGTAGTACCACCGGAGGGTACCCGTAGTTCAGCTCATTTATATCAACTGCTTTCCTGGAATTGATCAAAACCTGGAGAAAAGCCTCGTCGGCCTTTCTCCAGTTCTTGATCGATGATGACGTCGTTCCATCTCATGCATGAGCTCGCCTCACAAAGGGTAGCGCTTGCGCGGCAACCACCACTACCTCCAGCTCACCAGCTCTGCACCTGCTGGAGGAGACCGCGCCTCGCGCTGGCTCGCGCCGCGCCGCTTTGCGCACAGCCTTGTCCCTGTTCTCGCTCAACGCCCGGTATAATCCATGCCGTATAATTCCACATATTACTCGTATGCCCCTTCAGCCACTACATCAACACCCTAATTCACTGCTATTGGCTTCCCGTTAACGCCCTTGTGTAGAATCTCCCAGAAGAAGCCTTCTAACACATCTGGGTTCCGTGTCCAATCCTCGTTCGCATTCTCCTCAATAAGACGCAGTGCGTCCTTGTTCACGCGCTTGTCATGAACCAGAGCCTTTCGCACACGCTCACTGAACGTTACCGCCTTGCTTTCGTATGCTCGCAGTGATATCGGCTCTGGCGAGTCCTGGAATGTAGGATACTCCAATAAACGACCACAATCATACTGAGCCCACTTACGGAGGCTGAAGTGATCGCGACTAGGCTTTTTGCTCGTTTCCAAGGGGCGAGGATTTTCCGAAGTGAGGTCAGGTCCTCCAGTAGCCCGTGATCAGACTTTTTGGTCTGCTCTACTGCTGCAGCCCATACTGAAGGCGTTGAGGTGTTGGCTTGCAGCTTAACGTCGAATGCTGTATCCGTCTTAACTGTAGTGCAATGCGCCTGTCAGGCAGAGACCGCGGTCCGATGGTCCAGCAAAAACAACAACAGCAACAAAAAGAAGAACGGCCGATGGCACAGCGCTACGGAGTGTCCGACTCTTTCTTCTCCGTTTAAACGAGCTTGCGACTCGTAGTACTCAGATCCCTGATAGGGGGGGGCACAGAGAAATAGCCCGGCCCGGGATCGATGTGGTAGAGACTTGCGAAGAGAACTGCTCGACGAGTGTGGGGTGGGGCGCGTACTTAGGTACCCCGATGCCACTGGGTTGTAAGGCCAATGCTCGTTGAGCTTCTTCGACACCTTGTAACGCGACAAGACCTTCAACGGGGGCGTCGCAACGGAGCCCGACGGGATGAAATGAAAGTAGCAGCGCTAAGTCAACTGTGCCGCCCGATGGCTCGAAACACCTACACCGGTTCGGTCGCAACCGATGCCGATGGTACCAACACTGGCTCGTAACACGACGGAGCCCTTCGAGGGAGACGTCTTTGCAACACTCCGTCGGAAAATGGGTCACAGTAGCAGCGCTACGTCAACTGTGTCGCCCGATGGCAAAGACACCTACACCGGTTCGGTCGCAACCGAGGCCGATGGCACCAACACAAGATAAGGGAAAAATATGTAGAATTAGAGATAGAAAAGGATAGGGAAATAAATGAAAAGAAAAGGGAACCCCCGAGCGCAAAGGATAAAGTAATCTGTAGTTAAAGGGAATGTCTTGTAAAAGACGGACTTCAACCAAGGCCATATCAGACTCTAGCAACTCGGGTTGGTTTATTGACTTGTTCGGTCAAAGGGCTAAGTTATATAGAGCCCCGCCGGGGCGAGTACAGTAGCTCCCGGCTCTAGATTCTAGATCTAATTAGTAAATAAATTAAATAATTAAAATAATCGTGCGCTTCGTGGCACACGTGTGTCCCCATAACCCAGACTACAGTATCCAATTTTTTCCTTTTTCACTTCCTTTCACCCCCCTACCCGAGACGGGTATTGCAGTACATTAACCACTGCAACCTCAATCCCGGACGCCATACTAGAAGTGGAACCTGGGGCAGCAGACGTCTCGAGGCGGACCCTGTGGTGCATAGCTCTCGAGATTCGCGATGCAGCATACTCCCAGGATCGCTTTCGCGTGAAAATGAGCGAGGAAGACTATTCGATTCGTTCTCTCCACGAGAAAGTCCTTCGCCGGCAGAGGCTGCAACAGCTTTGGAAACTACGCGCTCGCTCTCGCTCCTCTTCCCTGCTCCGCGAGCAGCCGCGCCAAGTCGCCGTCCCTGACCAGCTTTCGGATGTGCGTCAGCTGCGCGACGGAGCCCGCCTTCTCCACGGCCGCGCCCACGCCTTCGCGCTGCTCCTGCGACAGCCCTCTCACGCCCTTTGCCCCGCCGCTCTCGCGCACGTCGCCGTTGGCCTTCTCCCTCGGCACGCCGCCGCCGCTCGCCCGCACGTGCCCAAAATCCAGCAGCTCCAGCTGCGGCAGCTGCTCGGCCATGCGCGCGCGACACCGCGTTGCTGCGCACTCACAGCCGCCGCAGCCGCCGCAGCTCAACCTGGTTGAAGTCGGCCACCGTCGCGATCCGGTTCCCCGTCAGCACCAGCGTGCGCAGGTTTGGCAGCGACTGCGCGAGCCGGCCAGTGATCCGCGCGATCCGGTTACCGCCCAGGGGCATCGTCGTTACACGTGGGAACGGCGAGAACGTGTCCTCCACCGTCGTGATCATGTTGTCGGATAGGTCCAGCGTGTCGAACCCGTCGCGCGCCCTCGCTAGGTTCTCGATCGCAGGGATCGACAGGTGCTGTAGTACCAGCGTCCGGTCCCCCACGCATATCAACACCGCCGTAGACTGCTGCACCAGTTCCAAATCCCTCTCCAGGGGGCGAGGGATTTGGAGTGGGGGGTGGTGGGTGGTGGAGATAGAGAGGTGGCTTGCGGGCTGGGGTGCGGACCAGGAGAAAGAGGGATAGAGAGGTGGTGGGGGAGGTAATTTCGGGGAGGTCGTGGCGAGGGAAGGGGGGGTTCATGCAGCCCCAGAACAGATCCACCCCTTTTTGCGTAGATTTCGCCTTGTTGGTGGAGATGCATTCCCTTTTTCAAATATCTGAAATGCCAAATTTGGCTGCGCCAGTCACCGCAATACACATTTACAAAAAAATTGATGATTTAGGCTGTTGCCCGCTGGAGATGCTCTTAGGGTGCAATATGCATCGCTCATCTCAACTTGAGGTGAAATGTGCGCATGATATCTCAATTTGAGCTGCAGATTCCGCAAATCATCCCGATTTAGCGCAACTTATTTTGCACTCTATTTGACTACTCCGCATACTTTTCGAGAGTATGTAGCAACATTATTGCATACCTCTCTAGTAGAGAGATGTGCAATAATACGATGTTGCAATTGTGCGGGGTAGAGAGTCTCTACCCCCCACAATTGCAATTATCCAATCTTTCATACTATACTATTGTGGCAAAACATGCTCTTTTCTATCTCGAATGACGTAAGCTCGACAACCAGCACACTCTGATTCGAAGAGGGGTCGAATCTTATTTTTCCACAAGAGCCCCTTCGCAGCCCTTCCCAATATCACTGAGTGGTACCTCTACAGAGAGACCCTTCCAGGCCATTTTCAATGCCTTCAATAATTTTATTCTGGCCCTGAAAGCAAAATCGGATGATCTCTGAAAATGACACGCGACGTTAAATCCATGCAATGTTTTACCGTTAAATTTAGATCATCTGCGCTTACGGGCTGCTAAGTTGAAATCATTAGCAGCTTTCGGACCATGATTTCGAATGCGTCAGCATTCGAAATTGACTCGTCAAGACATCCTCTTCGAAAGCCAGATCTCGAAACTTCGAAAGCATTTCAGTTGCACCCGACGTCATAGTCAAGTACCGTCTGCCCTCCGCTCCCATCTTGACTGGGGGCCGCGTTACGCGTAAAGCAACGATACCGAAACGAGGGCACGCAAACAATGAAATCAATCTTCATGATGGTCATATCGCCGCCCGAAGTATGCCAGAAGACGACAGCCGTGCGTGGCAAGACATTCCGTCCGGATCACTTCCGATTTCGCCGGTCAGAAGTAATTTCACTGACCCGTCACCGCTTCAAACTCGCGCCCAACGAAACAAACGTTGTCTTATTCAATCAAAAGGTGCGAAGAGTGCAAGTCAGCCACACGCTGATGTCTCGTCCAGAAATGAACCCAGAAGAAGGAAAGCGGCACGAAAGACGTTTTCTCCGATAGCATTGGATTCCGAAGATGTACAGGAGCAGCTTAGTCCTAATGGCCCTGGTAGCGAGATTAATCCCTCACACAGAGCAGCAAGAGAAGAGGTTGTACCCGTCGAAGGAGATGATGAGATTGAATGCGTCCAAGATGAGGATAAAATTGAAGCACTTCAACCATCCCGATTTCGTATGAAAGGCTTGAACCAAGTGCGATTGCAGTAGCGGAAGCCTTCTGCGGATGACCCCAAAGAGGTCCAGGACGCTTCATCGAAACCGAAACGCGAAACCGAAGCAAAGGCGACTGTGACGGAGGATCACGCAGTCTTGATAATTGAAGATGACCAACCTGCGGCAACTGAAGAAGCCTTCCAATACACGACCCTGCTTGGAACAGTTTATTCTTTGAGAAACGAGGACGTCAATGGGCTGAAGAATCAGCCAATGAGTATGGTGTCGTTCGATGCTTTCCTATGGGTATGCAATGAGGCTATTGCAGCACAGTACAACCCGAAGTGTCACTCATTAGTCCACGAACTGAAGCTAATGAGCGTGTACATGGCACGGGACCCACGAAGGAGGTCAGGATTCCAGAATCACTTGCAGCCCCTGAAGTTCTGGAGCCATATCTTTCTCAAAGACGTTTTCGTTCTTGGTCCGCTCTTCTATGAAAATCATTATTCTCTTTCCGTAATTGAGGGCCTGTCTTCTGGGTCGCAGTGCTTCAGGCATGGAAGTTGCACATGCCCTCCGCACGACAGAGAAATTTTCATCAGGCACTATGACAGTTTGGGATCCACTTCTCCGCACAAGGATCACATTGTAATAAGCGCAGTTACAGATTGGCTTTGGGATGGCGCGTCATCAAGGCTGAATTTCAAAATGTCAAACTCCGAGGTGTCTCAGCACTATAAGCTCGAGAAGGTCAAAGAGTGCGAAGGAGACCAGGACATGTCGCGAAGCCATATAAATTGCTCGACGTTTGTAGCCATGTATTGCCATTTGGTTCTCTCGCGTTCCAAAATGACCTCTGAAGCTAGAAAGTCCAATGAAGCCATCCATGACTTCATTGACACAATGAAGATGAGACTCGCTGTGAAGTGTACGAAGAGAAATGATATCCGCCCCCCGGCGCCACTAAGAAATGCTCTGGCTTATTATCGTCTGCCAGTGGAGCAAATCTGGCAGGTAGCGAGCACGGCAGACATCTTCCAAGTTTCCAACTGGAAAAAAATAGATGAGTCATTGAGCTACATGTGGTCTGCTGCAACCAAAAGCAAACCCGCAGAGGGCCTGAATATGTTCAGGCGTCAAGAAAGTCGAAAGGCAGAACTTAAGCTGGATTTCAAGAATCGGTTCGCTAACGACGTCAAGAAAGGCCCCAAGCTTGCTGCTGGCATGCATTCGGGAATATTGCACATTCCAATGGGATCGCTTTGGGCTGCCGCTGAATGCAGTTATAACCTTCCTGGGCAAGATCTAGCAGAAAGGTTCTTCATCACCATGCGCTGTTATCCCGATTCGGGTGTCCTGGTGCGCACTCCCAACTTCGTACTCAACGTGAATTCCTGTGTGAAACGCGACATCACAAAGAGCAACAAAAGGAAGGCATCAACACTCCACCCTGAAATACGAACCTTGCTTACCATATTCGGCGTGGATGTCAACAGTACTGCCAGAATTACGACCCGTTATACTCCTGAGGCTCGCGTTTTGATGCAGGAAATTTCAGTTCACGTCGTCGGCGTTTGTGAATACCTACTTCAATGTCTGGAAAGGGTTAGAAGTCTTGGAGAACTTACGCCACGCGAGACACGAAGTGAACTGCTTAACAGCATCCTTAGTGTTGGATTGGAGAGTCAAGATCCAATTGAGCACATTCGCGCAGGAAGGTTTCTGAAGAGTGGACCTCCGTACCGGTGAACCTGGGAAACAGACATCTAAGTGTATGAATGAGGCCCTGCAGATGGCACAGAAGATAATGAAGAAGGCCGGCAAGCTGTTTTTTGAAGAATGGAGAAGTAGAACGAACTCACAGACCGGGAGGAGGATGCAAGGCAAGATCGGAGAATCTGCTCTTCTGCAATTCCCCAACTCTGTCTTCAGGGAAATGCACAAAGCACTGTGGACAGAAATGTCAGAGAGGCTGATCATCGACGCAGGAGAAGATACGAAGAAGGCGCTTCTTAACGCTTTTAACGCTTCAAACGCCCTCTTCGTCAATGTGCATGGTGACAGGGTTGTACCCACGCCTCGGCTTATTTCTGTCTTTCTGGAGCGTTCAGCAGCACCTCGGGAACCTGCTCCTCCTCCTGAAACTGCTATTCCTGGATCTTCCACTGCAGCTCCACCCATTATTCGAAGCCCGTGCATGACGGATATTCAAGGAAAGCGACGCTACGCAAAACACCAGCTGCGAGAACAAGGTTTTTTGGTTTCAATTACAGAATGCTCAACTGAACTTTACTCCTTGTCTCAGTATGCCCAAGGGGATATTGAGGTGTTCGCATCTTGCTTCTTTTGCGTTCTGTACACCACAGTGCAAAACGCTTATTGGATCTCGTCTCGCGGGTGTGGCACGAGTTGCAAGACTATGGCCGTACAGTCCCTGGATAGAGATATTGGAAACATCCTCAAAGCACCTGTCACTGGATGGATTGCAGGTAGCTCCTCAAAATTGCATGAGAACAGCACTGCGCGACGCCGTGATGCACTTGTCTCAGCATGTATGCTCTTTGCCTCTGCTGAAGACTTAGTATGCATCAATCCTTATGACTGCAATTACAATGATCCGCCGCATATGTTTGGTCCTGTCTACCATAGATATGACGGCACGGTTGTCGAGTGGCGTGGAGCTGTGACCGATGTCCATGACGTTCGGCCGTTACCGTCCCGCTTTTAGGACACAAATGATTCCATGGGGATAGGTCCGCTTGCATTTCCGGCTTCTTCGTATGGAGATATCGACTCGTTCTTCATTGGGAATGAAATAAGTTCTGTAAAAGTCATCTATGTCGTTCAAGAGTCTGCCAACGACCATGTTGACTCTCGTGACCTCGCTGGTCGTAAAATCAACTTCGCAGTTACGGATGTCGACAGGATGTACTTCTTGGACAGTTCCAACATAATCATGACTACTAAATTGGCATTTGTGGTGAGTCCGCCACACAGAAGTGAAGAAGAAACACAAAGCCGTCAAAACTTCAATTATGAACTGAACCTATGCATACTTGACGGTATTCCACTCCTTGGAGGAACGCGTCAAAGGCCGTCGGCTAGAAAAATGTTGGCTGAAGGTTCTTACAGATCACTGCTTACATACAAGGTCGGAGAACACAATTTGAGAAGGAGTTTCACCATGTTTAAAGACATTAATAGCCTGCTTCTTCTAGACAGAGGAGTGACGTTGGGATTTGCTGATATTGAAGGCCTCATGCAACGGCAGCTGAACAAATTTTCGATGACAGTGGCCGTTCGCCAACAACTCGATTTTGACTCAGTTCCCCATACAGTTGCAAGTGGACCACAGAAGTCGTTTACCATTGGACCTGCTGGTATCGCAGAACTAATAATGGAACAGGCGCGGCGAAAGGTGCGACGTTACGCTTCTGAGCTCTCCGAAAGCCTTAACGACAGTCAGCTGGAGTTTCTCGCGTCATGGGCGTCGTCAGCTGTAGCGTACTACTACTTGCATCCCATAGGAAGTAATTTCTTGCGACAAATGTATTTGAAAGGGCCTCGAAGTTATAGTGGAGGGAATGATGGCCCCTCCCGGTTCATGTCGATGA